CACAGCAAAAATAGCATCATTTGGACGAGAGGCTCCACATTGAGAAGCACTAAGAATATTTCGCGTGGGCCGCGCAACTGATTTAGAAAGAAATGTCATTTAGAAAATGATCTAACTTCGCAAGCACTCCGAGACTTGCATAACGCGGTTGAAAATTCGCTTTCAAGGTTATTGAAACCGAGGAAAATTTTCCGCCGTAATTTATATGCAGAAAAATCTCTGACATTGAACTTGATAATGTAGCACATTATTCAGAGAGACGTCTAAACAAAATTTCAAAGATATCATCTAGTTTATAGACTCCTGTTCAACACGTGTGCTAAGAATGTTCGTGTTGCCTGAACAATTTTTCATCTACTGCATGTAAATGTCCGATAGAAGAAATTTTTCAATTGCGTGTGTATATGTGTTGATGGAATTATTTCCGGTATTATTAATTTAATTTTTAATTCGCCAAATAGAGAAATATAAATGTGAAAACTGAATGTAATATAATATATGTTTATAGAGTTTCAAAACGTGTTGTAGGAATCAGAATAATAAAATTTTTGTTACAAAAACATCAATTCGTCAGAAATGGAGCAAATACATATTTGCAAACACAATATATAATAAATCTAAAAAATACGCGTTTGTTTCCACTGATTCGGAATTTGTGATCTGCTGGTCATCAATTTTTGCAATTCAATTACCATGCTCGCGATTCAATTACGTACATGTGCGACGTAACAATACATTTCAATGTATTGCGAAATTCGTTCCTCCTGTTTGTAACCCGAATCAGTCGCTCGATCGCGTGACGAGAATTACATGATGGAATTACACGATCGGGACAAATTACATTATTTTTATTGGTAGCTAGAAAAGTGAATCTGATGGACACGGGTAGCAAATTGAAGCTAACTTTTTCTCTTCGTGTACGCGTATTAAAAAGTATATTATATATATATATTTTACATTTAAAACAAATTTGTTAACTTGACTAAATCCTTCAACTAGATTACTATTTTGTTAATTGAATATATATTAGCATTTAATTTAATTTAAATATTTTTATATGTCCAATTAACAAAATAATATTTAGTTGAGAGAAAGGTTTAGTCAAATTAATAAATTTTTTTCACTGTATAAATATAATAAGTTACATATTATTTTTTTTCTCATTATTCTTTTAATTTTTCCTTTGATTTGAACAAAAAAGATAAAATAGAAAATCTTAAGAACGTTATTTTAAAAAATGATATCAATAAGTCATAATTATTTATTGACTTATCTAGAAAAACGAGAATTTTTCAACTCGTTTTCTGAAAATATAAAATTACAATAACATTACATGGAATCTCTCTCTCCTTCGCAAAACTTCCATTAGACCTTCCGTAGAAATAAATGAATGAATCCAATATATAAACAATTATAGATAATTTCTGTTGACGTATAATCGAATTAGAAAGAATTAGATTAAGGCTTTACATGTATTAGAACTATAATATAATGGACATTTAACTGATAAACTATGAATGACTAATTGATAATGTTAAATAATTTCATGATAATGCCTCAATTTTAATTTCCGCAAAAATAATTCTCTTTTTCTAATGCAATACATTATTTGTGATGCACATTTCTTAAAAGCATTTTTCCTAAGAAATGTATTAATCGATCCGAAAGTTTATATTAAACTGCAAAATCATGATCGCGTAAAATCTTAGCCAATATTTGATGCGAAAACAGGAATTATCCCTTGATCAACAACGTTAAAAATCAGAACCTTGTTATTATCGTTTAATCGATTAATCGCGATTAAAAATACGTGTAGAGCATAGGCTGTTAAAACGTGCGTGCTTTAGAAAACTTATTTATATTATATGTATTATTATACATATATTGTTATTTATTTAAATTGTTTATATTGTTTAAATTGTTTTATTTATTTATTTATTTAAAAATATTCACAGCAATTTCACAGATTATACTAAATACTTTTATTAAGTAATAGCGTATAATTCTTTCCTGACATTAATTTGAGTAGATTTAATGGGCTTAATAGCATTATATACGTTATCTAATATTAAAAAAAAATAGATTTTTAATTGTTCGTATGCGCACTTTATCATTATTGTCATGATAAAAATGACCTTTGATGCAAATAGAAAAAAGACAGAAATTCCAGATAAACGCGGAAGTCGTCTTGGATATTTCCATCGTTACAAAAGCGAAAGTCTTTCAAGGAATGGTTATGTCTGATGATCGATTAGGTCGAAGAACTGTACTTCCGCGTCGAAAATAATTCCCCAGGAACACAACGTTCAATTAAATCATCACGTAATAATTAGATTATACAAAAACTACCAATCTTCAGATATTTCTTATCTTTTCTTCTTCGTCTCAAAAGAGAGAAGAATTATCGAAGTATTCTACTGAACAAGTTATCAATTTTTTCATGTTTAAGTAGCGACACATATTTATATAATTTTTTTTAAGGACTAAACATCTTCATAAAACCGTCAGATATCTCTCACTAAACATGACAATTTCATTATCTCAATTGGTTTATGTCAGAAATGTCGTCCACTTATCACACAAAAGCTCATCATCGTCTCGAGTCTAACTAAGAAGATTCTACAGCATCGCGAATTATCGGCATATTACGTAATTAAAACGGGCGATAAGATTCGTTGTGATTTTTCGTATTTCGATAAATAAGTATGTCAAAATTTTTTCTCCCAGCGCAAAGGATCGGAACACAAGTCAGCGCGTAACAGGAACAAACTGGCATAAATTACGTCAAACGTCCGAGTTTTCTCCCCAAGACGTCAGAGACCATATCGTAACATCGTGCATGAACTTTACCTCGCATGTAGGAGACACGTGATAAAAGACGGGATAAACAGACGATTTTTCGACACAATGGTTACGCCAACCAGTCTCCGATAAAAAGCACCGCGTCGCGATAATTTATTATATGATTCAAGTGACTGAATAAAAAACAGTTCAGTTTTTATATTTCTCCGATCGCTTTGTTCTATGCAACACATGAACGATAATAATTAAGCGCCGTGAAATAAAATAGAATAAACAGAAACGAAAGCTTATAGTTAAAGTATATCTTCCTAACGCACTGATTATTAATTTACAATGCATTGTCGCGAATAAAATTGCACTGAAAATTGAACATTGCAGTTTAAACTCGAGTATTAAAATTATTATGGAGTAGAAGAAACGAACAAAATTTTTTAAAGAAAATTATAAGTAAAGAAATTTTCCTTTTCTATGATCGAAGACTAAGAAAATCCTTTAAAAATGTATGGAAGTTATATGAATCAAATTTAAGTCGCTTTCGTAAATAAGAGACGACATCGTGACTTCAAACTTTATTCTCGTTAAATAAATAGAATTCACTTTCACCTGCGCATTGAAGATAATCTTTATGTTAGAAAAATAAATACTATATATTAGAACGTTATTAGAAAGAGACGAACATATAGAAAAATAGAGAGAGAAAGATGAAAAAACCAATTGTGTGCAGAATAGAAAAATCGAGACTGATATTTTTCGCGAAAAAAAAGTTCGCGCATAAAAGTTCATCTCCGGCGATTCGATTGATCGTTCATTATCTGAAAGCATTGATTATTTCGGACGGCTTTTTCTCGACACGTAATACTCGAAGGAGAGACAACACATTTGCGAAAGCAGCATGGCCAGCTTAAGTTCAAGACGGGTTATCAGTTCTCAGGGGTAAAAAGTCATCTAATCTCCGGGTGAACATCACACTGCTCGCTGTGTCACTCGCTTTTCGTCATTGGTTCATTTGATACACAACACACACTCATATATACAATATATAATCGTTATAACGTTCTTTTCTTCCTTCTCGCTCCGTCTGTTTACAAGCGCGTTAATCGCCCTCTGTTTTTCTTCCTCTCGCGTAAGATTTAGCTCCCTCTCTAACGCAATTCCCGATAATCAAAAACGGTATAAATAGTCCAACTTTGTTTCATCCCTTTGAGTGAACAGCGAAGAAGCAAACAAACGGACGTTCCTTAGCGATAGGTAACGCGATTTTCCTCGCCTCATTTACCTTCGTTTTTCGCGTCTTTCTCTCGTGATTCTCGTGGTAACTTTTTTTTAAGTGTACGGTTTTCATCAAAGTTCGATCAAACGACTCCTTCCGCTGATCCTTTCATGGACCTCGTCCTTAAAGCACGATGGAATCTTTCTCTCTCTCTCGCGAAAATAACCAGTGATTTTGAAAATTTCCAAGTGATATATTTCTGTGAGAAGTATCAATGTGTCGAGGAAAATGAAATTCCTTAGAAGCTCGAAAATACAATTCTTTAACGCGAGCCAGCAAATCTTTAATATTAGATTTTATTAAAAAATTCTTAAAATCCTTGTCAAATTTAATATTTAAAAATGTAAGTAATATATTTGAAAAAAGGAAATCTCCTAATATAAAATTTCGTAAAAAAAAAAAAAAAATGTGCGTTTTTGGTCAAAGTAATTTGAATGATATATTTTTCAATTTTCTATAATTATTTTTTACAACGCGCGGTATTCTTTGTTTATCTCTTTGTCAGTGCTGTTTATTATGCACATGGGATCTTATCGCAAAGAGGAGCAAACAGTTCAAGACCAGTTGCGTCCAGTTCGACCCCTTTCTTCCGCATCTTTCTGGTTCTAACCCGCATGTTCTTTCCATCTTTACAAAAACTATTTTTCAAATATACCATATTTCCTAACAACTTCGAAAATAAACAAGTCTAAAATTGCGCTCCCGATCGCGATCAATTTTTATAAATTTATTTTTACAATTATTTCACAAAAATAATCACGATTTTCATCGCAGTTAGCTGGATTTGCACCTCTGCACCGTTAGGTTTTTCTTTCAATTGTGAATACAATACTTTGGATAATTCTGTCAATTTAAAAAATCGAAGCGAGAGATTCTTTGAATGTCTCGTTGAGAAAAAATAATGAAAGGCCGATAACTCTGGTTGCAGGAGCGCAGCGTTCTACCCAAATACAGCACAAGAGTGTCCCCGGTCATCAGACCTACACCGTCCAGTTCTGGATCCGCCCTGGACTGTTCATCCAACACAACCCTCGTGACAAACGCCAGCCCCTTCAACAGCCAAACCGCCCTCATCGCCGAGAAGAAGTACACCGGCGATACCGGCAAAACGTCAAGTACAAATCATTATTATGCCGAGAATCTAAGGAACAATCATCAGAAGACCCTAAGCAGGTCGAGGATCTACAATCCACTCGATAAGAATCAGGACGTCGATTACAAGCAGCTCGATCCGTTGCTACCGAGCGAGCAAAGTCCAGACGTCAAGATCCTCATGGACTCCCAAGAGATCGTTAAACCACCGAAGGACGTGCAGGAGGTGATCCGATTACCTTCCATGGAATACAAGAAGAGCCCCAAGCAGCGATCCTCTATGCGATTCGCCACTCAGGTAAGTTGTTTTATTTTTCTGCACAGCAGTTTTTATTTGGAATTTCTCCATTATTTCAAAGGAGCGGATATCTTTGATTATCTTATTAGTAAATTGATGGTAAAATCATGTGGTTGAATAATAAATTATCTCTCTCTCTTTCTGCTTTGAAATATGATATTCAATTGAGAAGGTACAGAATATTATCGATATGAAAAACTTTAATTGGGATACTCGAAAAAGAAATAAAAAATGGCGAATTACATGAATTATTTGATTTGTAAGATAATTATTTTGATTACCTCGATAATATATTTATTTGCTATTAATTTTTAACTAAAAAGTCTTGATATATCCGAAAACTAAACCGACTATTGTTTTCAATATCGCTTAAAAAGCTTTGATATTCTTTTATTATTTATCTGACATTGAAACGATACGTAGAATAAATAAAAATACACACACACACAAAAAGTAAATAAAATTCGATTTATATCTATATCTAATTCTAACTTTAAAAAGTTATAAATCGAAAGAATTTTATCGATTTAATTTATATTATAAAAATTATATGGTTTCATATTATATACATCTTATTCATTTACTACTGAAATTGCATTTAAAATTGTATTTAAAATTTCGTTGAATAATTTTGTATTAAACAAAAATTAATATAACATATTATTTCAAAAAAACAGGATGTCTTTTCAAGAAAATATTCATAAATAATTTTGATGAATATTGAAATAAAAAATATTCATTAATAATTCTTATAATAAATAATCTCAAGTTATGCAACTAGTTAATTATAATAGAATTATGATACTAGTTAATTATGATAGAATTTTACACGTTCTTTGTATATCATGATTATCTATGCATGCAATCGAGAAATTAATAATTCACGTATTTATTTCTTTTATACAATCAACGCGATTTAACTTTATATTCACGTTTACTTAAAAACTTCTTCATCTTCCTTTTACCTTTCGGTAATTTCGAGAGTAAAATGCTAAACGATGCGTACTTAAGGATGCACGAGTCCTACAAGTAGTATAACCATACGCGCAGTCCGCCAGATGCGACATCGATTCGTTTTATGAAACTCGCATTATATTGCGATATATTAATACACTATACTATCTATAATTATAATAATCTTCGTCTAAAATTCTAATTTAAAAAACTCCGAGAATTTTAATAAATTAAAAATAAACATATATATGCGAAATTCACTATGGAATATATCGTCTCCTTTTATTTCAATAAATTGTAATAAGCAAAATTTTCACAATTACTATTTAAACTGAAAAAATAATATTAAATTATTTGAATTCTTGAAATCACTTTTTATATAATAAATAATGCTTAAATAAGTAAATAAAAAATATCATATTATACAACATCTTATTCATTTACTACTGAAATTGCATTTAAAATTTCGTTGAATAATTTTGTATTAAACAAAAATTAATATAACATATTATTTCAAAAAATAGAATGCCTTTTCAAGAAAATATTCATAAATAATTCTGATAAATATTGAAATAAAAAATATTCATAAATAATTCTTATAATAAAAAGAATAAATTCCGAAATAACAACAAGAGTATCAAGACATTTGCGAACGAAAACAACTTGTCATATTAAATAAATTTCGTTGAATAATTTTGTATTAAACAAAAATTAATATAACATATTATTTCAAAAAATAGGATGCCTTTTCAAGAAAATATTCATAAATAATTCTGATGAATATTGAAATAAAAAATATTCATAAATAATTCTTATAATAAAAAGAATAAATTCCGAAATAACAACAAGAGTATCAAGACATTTGCGAACGAAAACAACTTGTCATATTAAATAAATTTGCCCTATCAATGTGCGCCTGCGGATCTGCGCGTGTATTATTACGTGAACACGGCGAAACAAGAACAATCGCACGCGAGAACAAAAGACATAAATGGAGAGCAGACGCAGCCCTACATACAATATTGCACGATCTTGCATAACGCAATAACTAAAGACTATTTTTCTTATGTGTTGCGTGTGACATTCATGGTCGGCGTCTCCATGGGCGGCGCCAGAATTTCTCAATTGCATTATTATCGAATTATCACATTGAAATTTACGCGAACGTAAATTTCAATCTATATCAATGATGTGCTTAGATAAATGAAATAGAGATTTCATACATTAAAGATATCGCCACAATAAAAAAATTAACGTCTATCATAATGTATAATCAAAGCTCTTAGATTCCATTTAAAAAAATATGATAAAAAAAATATTTTCTTATTTTTTATATATAAGATAACTAATAAAATATTTCGTGAATCACGAAAAGATAAAATAAGAATTGTCTTGATTTTTCTAAGATAATATATGTATAATGTATAATCAAAGCTCTTAGATTCCATTAAACTCCATTACATAATAATTTTTTTAACCAGCAGTTGTTATATATTTGATTCAATTATAATACATATTTAGTCGTTAGAGAGTTTTTTTTATTTATTTTCAGTCAATTTCTGCAGAAATATTTTTTTATCTCTTTAAATTATTTGTACTTGATAAAAATCAAATTTTATATCACGTCTTTCTGAGAAAAAAAGTTGAAGTAATGATAAAAAAATTATTCCAATAAAATAATGTCCTACGCCGTGAAACATTTATGTAAGAAATTATCTTTTTATTAACAAACACGTAAGCAACTGCATTCTTATTAGATATTTAAGGCACGTATGGTTATAGTATATCGTTGCATCCGGTTCTTTTACAAAGACTTAATGAGGCAATTGCGTATCAGCATAAAACGGCATAAGAAATAATTTTTAGGCGCTCGATATTTATCCGCAGAATATGGAAAATTAAAAAAAAAATCATTTATTGTATATCTCCAAAAACTTATGTTTCTAGAAATTTTGTGTAAGCACGTTAGAACTCGTGCATCTCTTGATTAAACGATAATTATATACCGTATTATAATTACATATTCTAAATTTTAGATTGAATTAAAGAATTCGTATATAATATTTTGATATTCTTGCAATCCGTCAAAATTTCCGAGTAGTATTTATTGCTTTTATTTTAAACATTTAAAATAAATTTATGTAAATTTCCCAAAATTATACGTAGATTAACTTTGTAAATATAAATATAATATTATATATACATATGTTATCTCTTTTCGTGATTCACGAAATATTTTATTAATTATCTTATAACTATTGTATTATATTTTAATCATCTTTATATAGAATTAGTTATCTCATATATAAAAAATAGAAAAATACACTTTTTTTACCATATTTTTATTGAACGAAGTGCGTGTGTTTACTGTTTTCTTACAAAATTACTATATAATTAGACAAAATGTCATAAACATCTGATGGCCCTTTCCTTATCTATTTAAAATTGAAGCCACGTACCGCTTCAAAGACACAAAGTTGATACGATCATTATATTATGGAGTAGTATAGCGTTCTATGAAGGAGACGAATCGCAAAGGGAAGGGATAGACCCCCCAGCATCGTTCCCTATATAAGACGGAAACCGACCCGGCGGATCGGTTTACGAGTGTCAATAGCTTATATTATATCGTGACATCGAAAAAAACTTGCATTGTCGCGTCAGTGATCGATACCCCGGGTCGTTCGGATTAAGTCGGATCGATATATCGGGAGAATCGAAAGTAAACTTCTCGTCTCTCATCCTGAAAATCGGCCGATCCTGCGGAAGGATCGGTCGATTTTTTTTCCACGCGTTTGTTAAAATCGTCGCAGCTTCCTATCTACAGATTCCGATCGAAAATGAAAATTTCGACGACGAGATAAATAATTTAAAAATTTTTGCAATCATTTTCGCATCATAATTAGAGAGAATCGTTATCGGTTGTTTTGCGTAAAAAATAGTATTACGATTCTGTAACTTTTATAACGATGATATTCATGAGACACCGCGGTTAAAGGTTACAGAATCGCGATACAGGGTCGGATCTCGTCGATCGAGATAAAAATAATCAAGTTTTCGATCGGATATGTGTAAACGGTTTTTCAATAGGTCTCCTTCGTTGCCTTGATCTTCGATCTATTCCGCGATCATGAAGCTCCTCCTGCGAGCGGACACCCATGTAAACATCGAGATACCGGAAAGCGCGCCGGTAGCGAAATGCACGTTTACTCAGGTAACAAAACCGATTACATCGAGATTATTCATTTCAATTCTATTTAAAGATTTTCGAGATTTTCTAAAGTATTTTTTCCAATTTTTTTGAATATTTTAAAAATTCAGACGAAAATATATATTTACTCCGAAAAATATAAATAGATTGAAAATTACTTCGTTTGCAGAGAGGATCGTGCGATAAAATTATAAATCGTTGATCTAATACTACGATTGGGTAAAATGTAGATGTGTGTGTACACATTTTTCGTTGTGTGAAAATTAATAAAAAATATATGTATAATTATTTCGACTACTTGCTTGTGATTTTTAAGAAAAATTATTTTCCATATCGAAATAGTGTATGTGTGTGTGTAGGTTGTTGCACTAATTAAACGTATTATGTCTAACCTTATAGGACTTGTTTATATAACAATTTACTCATTATGTGATACCAGCCACTATAAATCGTCTTTCATGTTTTTAAAATCATTTTTCTCGGAAATTACGAAATCGATAAAAAAAATTATTCACAATATTTTAATTTTATTTAATATATTATTTTACTGCATTTTACTAAATATTTTTATTTGAAATTTTATATTGCACAAATAATCCAACTAAAGAACAATATTCCAAATAAAGATCAATTAGTTATAAGAACTGTGAAAGAGAGAGAGTAAGATGATATTTTTCATGATCCGAAAACATTTTTTGGTGCGGCTTCAATGACGCAAATCGTACAATTGATCGAATATCAATTAAATTATTGCGTCCGATCTCGATTCTCAGACGTCTCAAATAGATTCTCAATAAACAGAGACAGCACACAACACAATATATTCATCAAATAATGCTGTATATAATTCATGTGTATTTGTATATATACAAAATAAATATAGAATAGTATAAAAAAAAATATATATATTATATATAATTAACTGCATATAAAAAGTTATATATATTAATTATAATATAATAATTATATGTATATAATACAGTGTCCCAACATTCGCGCGAATCAAAATACCATAGCAAGAAAGTTTTTGAAAAAAAGTATTTGTCATTTTTCATTCCAAACAGTAATTTTTGAGATAAAAATGTATAAAACTGCTTAATTATATTACGATTAAATGGTCGTTAACACTATCGACGTGTAATTCACGGACAGGCGTCTGTTTAATCATAATCTGTAATGAGGCAATTGAAAACTCGTTAAAATCTTTTTATCTCAAAAACTATTATTTGGAAGGAAAAATGGTAAATAATTTTTAATTTATTTTTATGGACCTTTCTTGCTGTCAAATTTTAATTCACGAATTTCGGAACATTTCCTGTAAATATAAAATTAGATCAAGATTTCTTGTGATATCTAACAGAACTGGATTTATTCCGACATCTATTTTTGACAGTTTGCCTTATCACATCAACTGAATTTGTTGAATTTGATGATCCCCAATTGCAACGTATAAAAAAAATACATATCTAAAGAGTGAAATTTCACGTTTGATCGTAATTCATAATTTTGAATGACATATTTATTTTCAGGTATTGGCTGCGTTATCGGTATCACTGGGTTCTATGCAGATCGGTTTTGCGAGTTCGTATACATCACCGGCGCTGGTATCTATGCGCGACAATAGCACGACGGACTTCGAGGTTACTAAACATATGGTGAGTACGAGATATTTCGAGATCGATCCAGATGAAAATCCATGTCGCAAAAAATTATCGCGCGTTTATCGATCACGCATCCTGCGCGTTCGCGTAATCTCTTGAGGATTTCGAGTCTACGAAGACGTGTTATGTATATGTATCTTTGAGCGAACATTCTTTACGTGATGGGATAAAATGTATCATCGTGTCTCGGATGCTCTGGCACAAGAATTCGAATCGAGTACGGTTACCAGATTTCAAGCACGTTTGTTTGAACATCCACTGTCGATTGTACGCGGATTTATTTAATAAAAGAAACGATAGCATGTGTTCGCGATTCCCGTATCTTGTGGAATTTTAAAACTAAAATCTGCGAGGCATTTTTTTTCAAAATTTAATCTTTACTATGCATATTTAAATTTAATATTTACTTGTATCGATTTATATAGTGATATTTTCTATTTCTATAAATTTTATTCTATTCTATCCATATTGAAAAAGCTATCAATCAAAGATATATGCACGTTAACATCGTCTTCCTTTACATCACAAATATTGCACAAATACTATGTATCTCAAAGTGTCATATAATGTGTCGTATTTCATATTGCAAATTGTTTGATTAGATTTCGATTACGATGTTGAGGAAAAAAGATTAAAGGAATTGTTTATGGGCGACACATTGTATTGACATCGGGTGCAAAGTAGAAGTGACCAAAGAATGACGCGAACGTGTGATTAAAGCGGCGTAATACGTCACGTTATCAATTATATCGCGATCTCTCCGCGAACGATTGAAAAGGTACGGCCTTCGTCACATTCGAAGGGTCAATGGATAATTGAAAGGTTTAACCTCTCGAGTGCGTCATCGGCACGAGGTCAGGGGCACGATGACCCGATTACGACCGGTATTGGTTATGGAACCGATATGCCCTAATGATCGCGAAAGCGATTGGCTACTTTGTAAGGCGGCTTCGTGACGTTTCACGCCGGAAATTCATTCAAGATACACATATAAGCGAGCGTGAACAATGCGCTTCCGCGTGCTTGAAAGGCGCATTCAAGCCGAGTCGCGATGCAGAAGATGCATATATATATATATATATATATATATATATATATATCGATGCTCGCTTACATACTTGAAGATTCAAGTAGAAACGAAACATTTTTGTAAGACGATTTTTTATCCCCTCAAACAATATATTGAGATCATTTTGTCGGGAAAGATATATCCTATGTTTGTGTTCAGATTATTTTCAATTTAAGTATTTTAATTAATGCATTCTTTATGCAGAATATTCTATGCACTCCAATAATTGAAAATTATTTAGTCGTATACTGTACTACGTACATTTAATATACTATATATATTTATTATAAATATATTATAAATATAATTTATAAATAAATATTTATAAATTATATTTTTATACATTTATAAATATTAAAAATTTATTTATTTAAAATTTAGTTGTCAATTCAAAATTTATGCGATTAATGACGGTCTCTCGACAAAGTAAAAAAAATATATTATCTATAAGTCTATATTGAGGAAGGAAGATAGCGAAAAACATTTTGTAAAAACATAGAAAATAATATTTCTGCATGTATCTATAGCATTATTATATAAATTTCAACTCAATAATTCAAACATATACAAGACACTCTCATCAATTATGCTTGAAGAAAAAATGTTTTATTAAAATCACCAATTATTTTGTCCTAGCAATTATTGCATCAATTACTCTGCATTTAACGATCTAATCAAGCACGAGGCAGAGATTTCGTAATTCGTTTTCTCTGCGCGTGTTGCGCGGAATAAAATTTAATTAAAACGCACGGCGCACACAACCGTCCGAATAAGCAACCAAAATAATCGTCGTTCGCCCTTCGCGATTCTTTTCCTTGAATATTATCCGGCTTCTCGACCTTATTTATATTCCAAGGACCTGCGACGAACAAAACTATGTCAGGATTACATTCCAGCGTACGCGATTGTAATTTGAAAGATGAATTTAAACCAAGATCACCACGATATCTGCAGCATATATGACATGTACAATCGACCTTTCTCAGAAGTTTTGGACTTGCTTTTCTCTATGCATGTAATTGTGAATATATTTCGACAATTATTATACATGATGTGCAAAATATTTTACGTTCAAAACAGATTCTAATTTTATTATAGATTAATATAGATATAGATATAAATTATAGAATATTATTATTAATTATTTACATTTATTCTAATTTGATATTTACTTGAATTAAAAAATAATGGCTTATTGACAAAATCTAAAAAAAATTAAGACAATTAAAAAAATTTTTTTAATTGTAAAAAAATAAAGGGATAAATAAATAAAAAAAATAAACTTTTACAAAAGATTCTAATTTTATTATAGATTAATATAGATATAGATATAAATTATAAAATTATTAATAATTATTTACATTTATTCTAGTTTGATATTTACTTGAATTAAAAATAATGGCTTATTGACAAAATCTAAAAAAAATTAAGACAATTAAAAAAAATTTTTTTAATTGCAAAAATAAAGGATAAATAAATGAAAAAAAAACTTTTACAAAAGATATATTGAATTTCAAATTCAATGTATTGCAGAGTATGTGGATTGGATCAATTATGCCGCTAAGCGCGCTTTTCGGTGGCATCGCCGGTGGACCCCTTATCGAATACATCGGAAGGAGAAACACAATTACGGCCACGGCGTTTCCGTTTATCGGAGGTAAGATTACCGAATTTTATAATATAGATACAGTGAACGCGAGCTAATATATGTAAACAAGATAATATTGTAAAACGAGAACTTCCTCAATTCAACGTATAAACTTATTTAAATTTGTTGTACAGAGTTCTTTTTCATTACATTATGACATTCGTATATGTTACAGCGTGGATTTTAATCTCAATGGCTCAGAATGTCTCGATGGTATTGGTTGGACGAGCGTTATGCGGATTCGGCGTAGGCGTCGGTTCCTTGGCGCTACCGGTATACTTGGGTGAAACGATACAACCGGAAGTACGCGGTACACTCGGCTTGATGCCCACCGCTTTCGGTAACACCGGTAAGTAACAGCTAATGATGTAATTTTCAAGTTGACTTAGGATATAAAGGTGTCACTTAACCGATTTAAACATTCGTCAATTCATTTTTATGTGTATAGAAATTAATGTATCAATTTCACACGTGTTAATTAGAGAAATAATATCGATAAATATGAAATATATTTAATATTTTTATATGTAAATATTTATTATGTATAAATTATATATTTATACATATAAAAATATTAAATATATTTATACATAATATATAAAATAATTATACAATATATAATACATTATATATGTATGTAAATATATTATATAAATGATTTATATATTATAAATTGAATATATATTATTTGTCAACTAAAAAGTAATTGAATAGAGAAATTAACATGAAATTCAATCGACCTACTCGATCGTAACAGCGTTATATTTGACATACTTTGTAAAGAAATTATTACCCTTATGGGAAACCTTATAAAAATTTCGATACGCAGGAATATTGCTATGCTTCATGGCGGGCATGTATATGAATTGGAGAAACCTGGCTCTAATAGGAGCGACTATGCCGATACCATTTTTGATACTCATGTTCATGATCCCGGAGACACCAAGATGGTACATCTCGAAGGGAAAAGCGAAGATGTCGCGAAAATCCCTTCAATGGCTGCGCGGCAAGAACGCGGATATAACCGAGGAATTGTCCATGATCGAGAAAGTACATCAAGAATACCTCGAAACCGAACGAACTTCTCCGCAGGGCACATTCTCGGAATTATTGAAGAGAAACAATCTCAAGCCGCTTCTCATCTCCCTCGGCATGATGTTGTTCCAACAGATGTCCGGCATCAATGCAGTAATATTCTACACGGTGCAGATTTTCAAGGTATGTCTCTGTTATATCATTTATATCTCGACAACTTTTCAACTGCGTAATATTTTTTAATCGCACGAGAGTCAGGCTGTCCAGCAGATTCAATGAAAAAATTCCCTGACTTTTTCAGATCTTCCATAAGACCAGAAATTCATTTTTCTGAATTTTAGTATTATTTCTTGCAAAAATATAATTTATATATATATATATATATATATGATAAATCAATTAAATGTTAAATCATGAAATCCTTGAGATTTTAGTCAACAATGAAAAAGTTCGGAAGTTAAAAAAACAAAAATTTTACGATAATCAAACATGTCACTATAAACTATTTAAATAATCACTTTTTTCATTTATATTATATCAAATTTTTTAGTTGCATCTCCATTAAACACATTGAAATAAAATAACGACAATGAAAATATAAATAAACGAACATGCTGTAGAATCGATTTTTAATCAATAAGGAAAAGTTTTTATTTAATAAAAAATTTCAAATTATTGAGACAAATGTAGAATAATGTGAAAAAAATCCAGATAAATAATAAAATTTCCTGACTTTTCCCTGACAATTCTAGATTTATAAAATTCCTTGATAATGCCTGGTTTTCCAGATTTCCCTGAACGCTAGACACCCTGAGAGTGCTGGACTGAAAAAAAAACTTTGTCGCATTAACAAAAATTCTGTTCAAAAATGAACGAAACAGAATTACTAATTGAATCAACCAGAATTCCTTTTAATGCTACAAGCATCTTGTTTGCACAACAAATCAGTTGTTTGTGCAAGCAAGATATTTGTCGCGTTAAAAGGAATTCTGGTAGATTCAACCAGTAATTCTGTTTCGTCTAATTTCAAACAGAATTTTTGTTAATGTAACACAATTTTTTCCCAGTGTACTAAATCTCTGAATTTTGTAAAAAAAAATATATATAGACACATATAGAATTCAATGAGTAACGTATGCACAAACGATTGTTCTCAGGACGCTGGTAGCACGATCGACGAGAACTTGTCGACCATAATCATCGGCATAGTGAACTTCATATCCACCTTCGTCGCGGCGGCGGTGATCGACAGGCTTGGCAGGAAGATGCTGATGTACATAAGCGCGGTCTCGATGGCCGTGACTCTCTTCGCTCTCGGTGGCTTCTTCTACGCCAAGTCATCGGGCGTGGACGTGACCAACATTGGCTGGCTGCCGCTGGTCAGTCTGATCGTATACGTAGTGGGTTTCTCCCTGGGTTTGGGACCAATACCCTGGTTGATGATGGGCGAAATCCTGCCCGCCAAGATCCGCGGCTCGGCCGCGAGCATCGCGACCGGCTTCAACTGGATGTGCACGTTCATCGTGACGAAGACCTTCGAGGACGTAATAGAACTGATCGGAGCACACGGTACCTTCTGGCTCTTCGGCGTCATCGTCGCCGTAGGTTTCGTCTTCGTGATTATCTGCGTGCCGGAAACGCGAGGCAGGTCGCTCGAGGAGATCGAGAAGAGGTTCACCGGAAAGACCAGGAGAATGAGCTCGGTGGCGAATTTGAAGCCGATGCCGATGTCGTGCTAGCCGCGGAAAGTCCGAAGGTCGCGGCAGACAAGCCTGCTGGTCCCGTCGAAGACGAGCGGGCTCGTCGAAGCGAGAAGAACTTCCTACGACGTCCTTCCTAAGGATTTACGCTTTCCCTTAAAGGGAAGTCCTAGGTTTTCGAAGATGCGCTTCTTCTCTTCCGTGCTAAGAGGGGAACGTATCTGCTCTCTCCCTCTCGGCTCTTCTTACTTTGTTCTTACTTTCGAGATTTTTGGTTCGTTCTTGCGAAGTCTGTCTATCGCGACGAATTTGGGCAAACGCGAAGAGATAGTCGATAAGAAAAAATAGAAGGAAAAACGAATGTGCAGGAACACAGATGGACGAAGCATTTTTTTCGTAAGGCTCTTTTATTTGGAAGGGTTGAAGGGCGAACTGAGCGAAGAATTTTAGCAGAGATCTCTCAAGAGCTTGAAGAAATCAAGATAGTCGGTTGTATAAAATAATTCTTCGACGAATTTTCCAAGTGATTAATTTTTACGATCGACTTCGTTCATCTGCCTCTTCAATCTAGCCTCATAAAAAACGTAACTTTGATGGATTCCGTTCAGATTCTATTGATTAAGATATATTTGAGATATGTGATCGGAATATAGTGTCAATACATTATTCAGTCCAAGTACGAGAAATGAGAGCGAGGGTTATCGGTCTTGATACAAATTTCCAGGCTATTATTGAATGATTAATCTTTAAATCTCTCGTGGGGGTGTAAATGGATGTTCCTCGTCGAGAAAAATGAATGACATGCGATACGCGCGGCTATCAGCTGTTGACTAGGTGTGTAGTTGCAATTGTAATTTTTATTACTACGACAGTCCTAAAGGACCTACCTCAGGTTAATGTTATGCTGTATACGGTCAGATAGGATCTCGCGTTTTTTTTCTTTAACGCGGTTCGCGCGTGAAGCTGCGACACCTTTTTACAGGGAGGGGATTAAATGCCAAGTGTACTTTGAATTTTACGAAAGCATAATCTGTACTTATATGTATTATACGTCCTTCAAGTAAAGGTTAAATATTCCCGCGCAAAATTTTCAAAAACCAATCGTTCCTGAGCGTCTTTTTCCGCGCTCGTCATCTCCCTTGAAAATGATTGTAAATAACAGGAGATCTTTTTTGCGCCATTAGATAGTAATGTTATGTATCCGTGTACGAAAATCGTTAACTTTAATCGTGGCTCGACGCGTGTCTTTCTTTCGTCGAAATTAGATAAAATATATATTTAGAGGGAGAAAGGGAGAGACAATCAAAGAACGATTGAAGCTAATCAATATTGAAGAGAGGTTGAACCTAAAAACGGAGTGATTCTCAGCCCATGATCATGTATTATTGTAATCTTTATATTAAACGAATGATACTCGGAGCCCGATCGTTGTAATAATGTGTGAATAGGATTGTAAATGTACGTATGTATCATAAGACAAGCAGATATATATTTTATATTCTCTAAAGCAAGGAATTAAGAAAAAGTAGAAGAGCGTAATATCGTAGTTGTGATAAAGATCTTAAGGAAATTATGTAAAATAGTGTAATGTAAGAGGTGAGCCTCAGACGGACGTAAAACCCGTCGAAATTTGCCAATGTTCCCAAGTTGAGGTGTAAAACTGCGCTTCGATACTTAGCGAGTGTTCCCGGTCAAATAATGTAATCGGAAGAAAATTCGCTAGCGAATTTTTATATAAAGGATATCGATAGCAATGAATTTGTATATATTGTCTAAATTATTAATATATATTTTTATTATTAATTTATCGCTTAATTGTATAAAGAGAGAATTATGTTTTCAACAAGTCGCGTGCTAAAGCATTACGTCAATCAAGAGCATTAAATTAAAAAAATTTAAGTATTACTATTAAATATCTGATTTCATGACAAAACATTTTTAGAAGTCAGAAATCAAAGTATAAAAGAGACATTTGAACAATTTTATTCTAAAGAACATTTTAAAAATTCAGATAATTTTTAAAATTTTTTCAAATTTTTATCTGCATAAAATAGTTTGATAAGTAATAGTTTTAATTGTAAATTTAATTGTAATTATAATAATTAATTGTAATTATAATTAATTGCAATTAATTGCAATTATAATTAATTATAATTATAAAACGTTCTAGAAATTATATCCAGTGTGTATATCTTGTATTTTAAATTCGACTGGGTACACTCACAGTGTGTTTTGACACGTAATATTAAAATTTCAGCATATCATAATCGACAATTAACGACTTAAAGAAGCGTTAAATTTGTGATCGCAAGCGTGCTTGTAGCTGTGCATGTCCAAATCGAGGACAAAAAATTCCATTAGCAGCGAATCTCATTTAGTTTATAGACAGGAGCGTAAAAGAGAATTTGTGAAACTTTAAAAATAATTTTTTTGTCCACATGTTAAATAACGTTAAAATAAGTGTTGTTTATGCAGAATGCTACGAGAAATTATATTTTAAAAGTTCGAACAAAAGATCATTCCTATTGTGCGATTTAATGTATGACTCAGTCTAATATTGTATAAAGCAATAAGTGTGCGATGCCTTGTCCTGATATCAAAAAATTCGGTTACATTATATTTCTTCCCCCTCTTTGTACCAATGATCAATCGCTGTACTTCTTAGTTTCTCATATTTCCTCTTTATATTTCTATATTGCTATATGTAGGTGATATTTCTCTGCCGCTTATTTATAAGATATTTGCCAAAGCACAATGAAGATGGTGAAATATTTTTGATAATTTAATACTCATGTTAAGTTTACACGTAATTTGTAAGTTATTATATGATATAATTTTAAGATTAACTATATATAAATACGTTTATGTAAAACTGTCACTTTTACTTTATACACCTTCCCTTTTCTTTTTGTATAATGTTTTAACATTTCAAGCAATATTATTTTAATATAAGTAAATATAGATATTAATAAGAGTATAAAATATGAAAATACTATAATACTATGTAATATCATCGTTAAGAATACAAAGCTATTTTATATAGTATTTTATCTACTGGTATCTTTAATAGGAAAAAAGTATCTTCAGATTAATTTTCATTTTAATTTATTTTAATTTTCTATCGATGTCAAATATATGCAAGATTTTAAAATTGTTAATAATTTATATATATATATAATGATGTAAGAACAGCCATCTAGACTAAGCAATCATGAATATTGTCGTTTGAGTGGTAAATGACAATGAGTAATGTAATACTATGTGACAGCATCGTTGAAAATACAAAACTATTTTATCTACTATAGTATCTTTTTAATGAAAAAAAGCAACTTCAGATTCTTAATCCTAATTTTAATTTATTTTAATTTTTAAATAATTAATTTCTTAATAATAATCTAACACAAAATAATATCCATCTAGAAATTATGCGCAATTCAAACCATGAATATTGTCGTGTGAGTAGTAAATGACATTAAATATTCTAATATTCTCTTTCTACCTCAATGACTAGTTGTCAATGATAAATATGTATTGAAACATATATAAAATGATATAAATTAAGTCATACTTTGTATCGAATGAAAGCAAATGGATTAAAAGTCTAAAACAGCATGTGAGATATTCAAATTTCAAATATTTTGCAATAAACAAAAAGTATCTTCAGATTCTTAATCCTAATTTTAATTCATTTTAATTTTCTACTGATGTAAATTGTATGCAATATTTTTAAATAATTAGTAATCTCTTAACTATGATCTGACAACACAAAATAATATCCACCTAAAAATCATGCGCAATTCAAATCATAAATATTGCCGCATGAGTGGTAAATAACTGTGTAAATACACTAATATTCTCTTTGTATCTCAATGACAAGTCATCAATGATAAATATGTATCGAAACATATATAAAATGATATAAATTCATGCTTTGTATCAAAAACAAATGGATACAAGGTCCAAAACAGCATGTGAGACACTCAAGTTTCAAACATTTTGCAATAAACAGGCACAAATATTGTCATTGTGCGAAATGTCAACGTAACAATTCATTACAACGTTACAACTGATACATAACATTTTCCTCGGGGAAAACGTATAATTTCGTGGGAAAAACGAAAATAGAAGTAAATTAGAGAGACTTTGAATTAATCAAAACTCACCCATAACTTGAACTCTGCAAATGGCACAAGTGTCGCATTCCACGTCCCAGCTCCACATTGCCACGGCGTTCCACTTTTTCAGGGTGAACATTTTGTCGTTTTTCTGGTTATCGCCGTCGACCCGGTCTCCCGGGTCTTGCTCCGAGTCGGCCATGTTTGAGGTTAGAAACACCACAGTGGAAACACTCGCGAGGTTATTTAACGCGACGCGATCAACACGAGTCTCGCAGTAAAGCGCAAGACCATCAATAAAGTATATTATTAAGAGACTCGCAGCTCCGCGTGGACAAAGTCTCGTAACTATTCCGGGAATAATCGCGAAACCTTGAACTTGCTGCTCAATGTCATATGACAAATCGCGACTCCTCTGCTGTATGATCACGATTATTATTTCGATTTAATAATTAATTGTTGGAAGCACACAAAATATTTAATTCTGTTATTTTTTACGATATAATTTTTTTTTTTTTTAACATATTCTATTTCTATTCAAAATATACGAAGATATGCGACTTTAAAAAAAATTGGAGAGAATATTATTTTTTTGAGCTACGGTCGCGCGAAGTTTACTTGTAGAATTTGTCGCACTTCCCACTATCGATGGGATATATATTGCACATTTGGGTATATATTGAATGAGAAGTCCATTCATTTTGACTTTACAATATTATGTATCTTGGGGGATTTTAATTTACGCAGATTCATGTTTTATTATTATTCAAAATTTAAATAAAAATGACGAAACTCACCGATTCGATGCGCGTCAGCAGCAGATGAATTGTAAACTACAAATATAAAAATACATGGAATTATATAGTAAAATTAAAAAATATATTTTTCGAAATATAAAATTATTACAAAATAATAGTAGTGTAATAAAAATAAATAAAATAATCACCATATAGTTGCTCCGACCGTAGTCTAATCGAATTTTACGCAAATTATAAATTAATTCGGCGCGGAATGATATACTTCGATACGAGGACACGAAAGTACGATCGAAAATTCCGTTAATTTATCCACTTAGAATACGATCGACAACGTCGAAAAACTCCGGAAATTTCGCGGCGAAGGCGCCCAGTAATTTTCGCGATCCGTCCTCGTAAACTCGCGCGCGCGAACTTTTGGCGGGACGAGCTCGAAGCTGTGACGTCACGTCAAGAATGCGAGGAAGAAAGTGAAATTCAGCGAGATGCCCGCGGTCGACGAAATCAATCTCCCGCCTGCCATCGCGACTTTCATCGCGATCGGATTGATACGATAATATAACAATTATTAATTACGTAAAGACATTAATTAATATATTTACACTCGTACTCTCGCGGATCGGCCTGAAAATGAACGTGCGAATGTAACCGCGAACAAGTCGAAAGTGCACTAGAGAGCAGCAGCATTTCAGATTGTGTTCGAAATATATTCACCTGGCGCGATTGACCAATCAGGACAGAGATCCTCGCTCTCCGATTGGTGGACAAAATTTGGTCGACCAATCGGAGAGCGAGGATTTTGTTGTCCTCTCGAAAGCGCGTTGTCACGTGACGCGTGACGTCACAGTGGCGACTGGAGCCGCCAACAATTCGCGCGCGCGAGTTTACGGGGACGGATCGCGAAAAGTACCGGGCACCTTTAGTACAAAAATTTTCGAATTTTTCAACATTGTCGATCGTGTTCTAAGTTGGCGATTGCGCGTTTCCGGTCGCGTCATCGTGTCGTTCCGCGACGAATTAGCCTCGTAATTTATCGCGTAAAAATCGCAGGTCGACTACGGTGTACGATCGCGCCATATTGCTATTCTTTTATATCGATATCGTGCGCTGCTCGTTAAAATTTTCTCGCAGTAGTGTGTCAATTTGGAAATACGGCGACTCCTAGGATGTCCTTCGATAAAAGGGCCTTGAAAAAAGCAGCGACGCGAAAACGGAGCATCGGTCGCGCGCGAAAAGCTCTCGTGATTCTCGTATTTTACCGAAACGTGTCGAAAATGTGATGACTAAAATCCGGACGCCGCCGCGCGTCGCGAACGAAAAAAGTAACGCGAGTGCAAGTGTTTCGAAGCTTCTACGAGAGGAGGAGGCTCGGGGCGGCATCGGGCAACGTCGGGACAATTATATATGGTGATTATATTATTACTATATTATTTTGTAATAATTTTATTTTTCGAAAAATATCAATTATTCTTTAATTTCACTATATATAATTCCGTGTATTTTTATATTTATAGTTTACAACTCTGCTGCGGCGCATCGTATCGGTGAGTCTCGTCAATTTTTACTTAAGTTTTGAGTAATATATTTTGTGTGAAACACGAATCTGTAATTAAAGTCCGCCCCTCCAAAGATACATAATATTGTAAAGTTTTGGCAAAGTCAAAAAGGATGGAGTTCTCGTTCAATATTATGCCAAATGTGCAATATATCCTACCGATAGTACGACAAATTCTACAAGTAAACTTCGCGCGACCGTAGCTCCGATTATTAAATATTTCAATAGAAAATAATTTTCGAATTCGAATTTTTTTGAAAAACTCGTATATCTTCATATATTTTGAATAGAAATTGGATATGTTATAAAAAAATTTATCTAAAGGTTTTTTTCTATAAAAAAGTATAAAAAGTATAAAAAGTATAAAAATTATTTACATATAAGTAGGATGCAAAACATTTATTTAAGACTTTGATTTCAAATTAGATCAATTCTGTACATCCACAACAGCTACAGTTATATATCCTCACAGATTGTGTTATAAATTTACAATCAATTTTTTTTCTTTTAATGTACAGGCGCGTATCACGGGGTACATAATATATAGGTAATATAGATAATAAACTATGTAGGATCTTTTAAGTTAATTTAACGATCTCGACTTTTATAGCACTCCATTACATGTTTCGTTTAAACATAATAAACGTAGCATCTCTATAAAAATATATTTTTAATCAAAAATTAAACCTCACAATTTTTTCGCTTTAATCACTTTATCTATTTTACAAGAAGACATGTTTGCATGTTCTTTTCCATTGGCAAAAGTTTCGATTTCGATGACAGTGAGAAACAAAAAATATAGAACATCACTTACAAATCGTTACAATATCGCGATAATATTCTTATTTGTATACGTATCCGTATGCATATTAAGGAGAAACAAATATGTATCTACTTTAGTATTAAAATGTACGGTATTATAAACAACAAAATTCTTTTGTCGCTATACAAATTGAATATCCATTTTATTGTTATGCTGTGCTAGTATAAATTTTTGATACAATTAGTGTATTAGCAACAGCAATGTAACATTAAACTTCCGCAACAATTGAACAATAACGAAAAAAACTGTAAAGCAATACACATCAGTTATTGCAATAAATAATGACAATGGAAAAAGAATTTCTAAGTTTTCGACTGTTAATCTGAATGGGGGATAAGAGCATATTGCTTTCAAATATGTATATCTTTAGTAGCGCTTAACAAAAGATTCAATCTTTTTTTCATGCTAACATATGAATTGATAGTGAAATTTAAGCGTTTATAAAATAAATCTAAAACATATGTTTTTCTATCAATCTTAAAATTATTTAAAAATTCGTAGCAATTCGAAATTGCAAAAAAATTAATAAACATGCGTCTACAACTAAGTTTATTCTCAGAAACTGCAAGCCCAGTTACGTAGTAAGAAGAATGTAATGTAACTTTAGGACTTTTCTGACATGCGTCAACTTCTACAAACTAACGGGATTCATCATATACCCCTTAGATTCTTAGCATTGCTTATGTAAAAACATAAATTTTATTTCTCTTTGCCAGCTTATTACAAAATAATAAAAACGTTTATTAGCAAAACTATATATTAATTAATTTTTGAATAACTTTTGAATTATATATTAATGAGTATATAGCTTCAAAACTTGTCATTTCAATATCATATAATTTATAATTGCAAAAGTTATATTTGTGTAATGTAATTAATAATAGCAATGGAAAAAATCATAACGTTGTTTATTATATATATCAGTTAAATCATACAGCTAATCATCGTACTGAAATAAAACTGTAATTATAAACTGTTATTATAAACAGCTATTCATATTCTAATATAACTTAATTTATGTAAATGTAACAAATAAAATTGAAATGTATCTCAATTTAATATTTTAATTGTAGTGGCCGAATAGATTGAAATAATGTCTTATTATAAAAGGTTGATGCAACAAAATATTTGTAATTGAAAAATGATACGAATTATGTTTTTACATTGTGCAAAATTAAAACTGCAATGTTTAATAATTATTTATGAATTTCAATAATTTCTTCTTCACAAAGCATCAATGCTATTCAAAAATATCGCTCCGATAAATTATTACATAAATTATTATACTCGTTAAAACTACAAAGTAATAACAAGAACGCTAACTTTAAAAATCGTTTTTTGCAAAATATAATATTACGTCATGCGACATGGCAGAAACCGAAATATTTCTGCATTTCTTTGATTACAAAATGTATCCAGTCATTCACGCATCAATATCCCTCTATGTACAAGCTAGAAGTACACAAACAAGATCATAGTTAAATTGCGATAAAAAGTAATTACCTTATTTAATACTCTAAAGGCCATGTCGTCATATACTTTAGATTATTTTTAAAATTCTTACGGTACTGCCAAAAAACACACATTGCAATTACAGGATCGCCTCTACCTTTCTTTTTCCTCTCATTACATAATCACAAAGTCGCCATTGACCTAACAGCAACTATCATATCCAAGAGAAAAAAAAAAGATCACACTTCCTAAACTGATGAGACTATAACGTCTTTTATAACTAGATTAAAGTTCATGTTATCACATGCTTCTGATGTCGAAACCGATAGGAATTTAATTTTGGTACTTAATATATAATACAAACTTTTATAAAAAGACTATTACAGTTTTACTGCTGATAACTAACTTATGCAATTGTTGTCTGAATCTCGTCTCTGTAATTATATCTTAACAGTGCAATGTAAATGATTATCTGTCATTATTTCCAAAATATGTCATCTGTACACTGATAGCAACTTTTTTTCTCTTTTAGCGCTATTAATTTCATTCATAACGATGCGTAATAACGTACATTTTGCTTTTTATATAAATAGGAGTAGAAACGTACACATCCCATGCCTCATCTTCCATGAATAATACACATCCATACATATATATTTATTAATTGCAGTACAAACATAAAACTGAACTTTAAAAAATACATTTAAAAGCATAAGTTTTACACAAGGCTGTTAATATAAGCACTAATGTGTTTTTTTACAGATAATAAAATAAGTAATTGAAAAAATAATTTAGTTTCTGGAGGAATAAAGAAAAATAACTATTTTTAATGCGTATAAAACTATCTACATA